TACTGTAGCTTGACACATTCCTTGTATACCGAATGCTTTAAGCATTTTAGAGCGAATGTCATCGATTGTAGCTGCCCTTCCAGCTTTCAAGCCATTCACACCTCATGCGATTTTATCTACAGAAAGACTCTTATCCGTTACCTGCTGCACTTCGGGTAAGTCTTCCTGCCGTTGATCGGGGTTAGGGAGTTTCTGAAAAAAACTTTCTCCACCGCCGAAAAATGTCCTCATCCTCAGTCTTGAAGGGTGGTCAGTCTTGTCTTTCAAGACTCGTAGACTGCCCTTCTTTCCACCTTGGAGCCGCCGGTTGGTCTGCCAGAATACTTTGTTCGCCGTCTGGAAATTCGACTCAGAAACCTCACCGAACTTCTCCCAAAAATCAGCCATGGCTTTCGCCACTGCTTTCGATGCCACCTTGCGGGTAAAAGGCTCTTTGCTTCGGAGCCATTTCCTGAATGCACCCTTCTTCTCACTGACTGCCACTTGTATCTCTTGTCCACCAAGAAGTTCATGCGAACCCACATTTTGATGCTATTCTAATGATAGCGCATAACAGGCACCAGCATGAGTCTATATGAGCAGTCAGTTGAGGTAAAATAATGTAAGATACATCTTGTTGTGGAAATTCTAAAAAAACAGTTGCATGAGCAATGAGGAGTAACAGGATCATTAACTAAATAGCGAAATTTGGTTTGCAGGAGCAAGATCCTGTATCGTTTGATGTTCAGCATATAGCCCACGAGGAGCTATATCGTTGGTGCTGGTAACAAGTGCAATAACGTAAAATGAAACACATCTCGCATGGGCAGTGCGAATGTAGTAATCTGCTTGAACATGAAACATGGCTTCTGTAAGCGGTAAGGGGCAACAGAATAAGCAATGAAATCTGGTTTTTGAAAAGCAGCGCACCAATCAATCTAGTGCGGAACAATAATTAATTTTTTGAGTTTATGCCCCACGATATAAAGGATACAAGAAAGTCCTAAAATACTGCTGTTGAAGAAACAAAACAGCTATAAATGAAATGAGACAATCTAACAACCCAAGCGCTGAAAGAGTCGCCTTCTAATGCATAGCCTGTCTGAACAACTAAAGACAAGGGACTATTTGTTAAATGATGAAATCTTGCTTTAGAAAAGTAAGGCAAGGAGTATCATATTCTCAAGTTCACGCGGAAGTATATAAGAAATATCTGCAGTCCTTCGGTTTCGACGAAAATGAGATGCGTCGGGCATTCTATTCGTTTAAGCATGGCATTCGTAAGTGCCATAAGGGGGCGATGACATAGGTCGTGAAGGATACTCTCAGAAGAGTAATTCAGCCATCCACATACTCTGGTATGCAAAAACATATTCTGATATTTCTGCGATAGCATGAAAAGTAGTGCATCTCAGACAGCACAGCAACAACATAGGGCAAACACTGAAAAGTCACCTGATTAAGTACGACCTCCACAAGCAACAAAGACCAAGGGGCGACATAAAACGCGGTAAAAGGAGTTACTGACTCATTTAATATTTTCATGCGGTGATCTAAAACAATAATCAGCTATTGGTAAAGATCAACAAGACAGGAAAAAGAATATAGGGAAAATCGACGAGAACAACAACACACGAAAGCGGCTGTTTCGAACAGAACAGATGATCAATGGCAGTTGCCATGGCAATGATAGCTGTCGCGGGAGACCATCAAGTTGACAGGATTTTGCTGGTCGATTCCTGCTTCGGTTCATGTTTGACACTTGTCGACTATAGAGCTTTTAATTAGATCGGCTGCTGGACAACGGCGTGTTTTTAATAATCAACGGATCGTTCGACAGATGCGTGATAATCGAACGGTCTGCCACAATTCCGGATCTGTTCATTTGATTTATCCTTTAGGACGACTATTAATTAACGAAACGGATTGGATAAACGAGGAACAGGAGTAACAGCTAGGTTGACAGGTGGAATGACAAGGGAGGGCATCATCAGGAAAAGGTCGTCGCTAAGCGGTGGAGACGAACGAACCAACCCATCTGCCAAACGGGGAACTGCCTGCCATTCATCCAGACAGAAAGAAACGCAAGGCGCGTCGAAGACGATAGACGGACGAATGCCACTTAGCATTCGGGCGTTGAACAGCAGGTTCCGGCTGGCATCGGCTGTCCGTACGTTCGTCTGTCTGTCTGTCCGTCCGTTTCGTCCGTCTGTCTCGATGAGAGACGACTGCGCGGATTAATCGAAAGATAGACGTGCACAACAGATTGAAAGCCGAACGCATCCGTACATGCAAACTGACCTATGTAGGGGTTTGGCCGATTAGAGGCCAGCGTAGTGAGTACCCAGTAACCATTTCTTTGTCATCGTCACCTACTCCCAATCTGTGCAACGATCGATATGAGAAGACAACCGCAAGCACCATCACGACCGAATATAAAATCCTTCCACCGCAACGCAACTACCGACGGACGGTGGATGGATGGATGGACACACCGACTCCATCGGTGACCATGACGACATCCGCTTCGCCGTCGTTCGGTACTGCTGTCAATAACGTGTCTGGCAACAAGCAGACTTAGCACTACGACGACGGCAACGACAAACAAGAAGACAATCGTCAGCAACGCACTATCTTCGGTGTAAACACCCGCCGTCTAGCCGGAGTACAACACGTTCGTTAATTAACTAGTTGAGCATGCGATAGATCTGTGCTGTTGTGGATACCTAAACAAGACGATTATATCAAAATTCGAGCAGCATGCGAGCCGAACGTCGGCGAATTGATTTATATGACTCCTGCCCTCAGGTAGGTCAAGGATCTGCGGCGGTCTTCCTCAACGAAGTTTTTCCTTTCTTCTAACATCTTATCTTTGCTAAAGTATACAGAACTTTGCCTAACATAACTCTGAAATACCATTTCCAACGGTCAGACATCATAATTCTTGGTTACTCAGCTGTTTAAGCTCTGTAAACCTCTGACGACGATGACAAAACGTGTCAAGTAAAATCGGCAAGACCTCGGTTAAGTGCTCCTTAAACGCAAACGCATATTTCAGCAAACTTTGAGAAATAAGTTCCGAACAAGTTTAATTTTATCTACTACCGTAAAAAACAATGAGCCCACGAAACGGCTTTAAATGAT